TGGCAGCGGGGCTGGGACTGGATGATATTTGCGATCTCTTCCCACCCTTTAAYATTGTACGATTTTGCATACAACAACACCTTCTCGGATATTCATGAAACTCTTAAGTCGAAAGACTCGGGATTCCTGTCGTTGATTCCAGAAACAAGATGCGTCTGTGTGCAGAGGCTGCTCAGCTGCGCGATTCAAAGGAGGGGCCGCGACAATCCGGTGGCTCTCCCCGCCCCAGGTCTGCCCCCGGCCCTGTGGGGCTGTAGCTCAAAGCCACTCACCCAGTATCCTTGTGACGCCCAGGGTGAGCTTGTCCAGGTAGGGCTTGATGCCGGTGGGGGGTTTGTCCTCCATCCTCCGCGGGATGTACGGGACCCTCCCGCCTCTGTCCAGCCCGGCAGAGAACAATGCTTTCTGACCTTCCTGCTGACCCGTAGTTGCGGGGTGCGCTGGGAGTAGTAGTTCTTCTGGGCGGTGCCCCTGCCTGTTTATGCCGGCGGCCGGGGCTCAGAGCACCACGATTCCCGGCAAGCCTCGCGCCCCACCGCGTGCCGCCGGCTCAGACAACCAATGGGCGGCGAGCGCCGGGGGGGCGGTGGGGATTTGCGGGGAGTGGCGGCTGTTTCAAGATGGCGGCGGCGGCCGCCGGTGCTGGYGGAGGCGTTCGCTGGGGTCGGGGCTGTATCCTTGCCTGGGGCTCGGCGKGAGGGGACAGGGGCGGGAGAGGTCGCCAGAGGTGTGCGGGGCGGCTTGACCTGGGGTTTGGCGGGCAGCCGATGCAGGGCTGTGGGTTGGGGGGGATACTGTGGCCGTGGCTCGGGCGGTGTGGGGGCTCCGCTGGTAACTGTGGGGAGCCTCGGCCTAGGGAARGGGATTGGGCATGTGCCTGTGTGCTGGGGGTACGCGGGATTTCAAAGCAAAAGTGACCTGCTGGAGAAGGGAGGGTCGCAAGTCCTCTTCCGTGTGACCCAGCTGTGAAATCCCCGGGCAAGAAAATATATAGGAAGTGGGGAAATTGCGTTCAGCTTATCGGAACCTGTAAGGGAATCAATAGAGGGAATGAGGTTGTAAAGCCTAGGGAAAAGGAGGCTCGGAATGACCCTGTCACTCTCTGCAAATCTGACAGAGGCTATAGCCAGGTGAGGATTGGGCTCTTGTGCCAGGTTAACAAGTGACAGGACAAGAGGATGTAGTTTTGAGCTGCTCCAGGAGAGGTTTAGSTTGGACATTAGGAGGAATTTATTCACAGAAATGGTGATGAGACATTGGAATGGTCTGTATGGGAAGGTGGTGGAGTCACCTCTGTGTTCTAGCAGGAGGTGTTTAAGGGCACTCAGTGACCTGGTCTGGTTGACATGATGGTGTTTGGCCATAGGTTGGACTTGATGATTTTAAAAGTCTTTTCCAATGTAGTTAATTCKGTAGTTCTTTGAAACTGAGGTTAGGGGCTGAGCAGAGAAGAAATGTGACTGGCACCTAAGCTTGACTACAAGCACAACATTTCAGGTGAGCCTGTGTGGGACTTGGAGGGCTCTGTTTGTGAGGGATGAGTGTGAGGCTCAAGCGGCTTCATCTGCAGGCTCACATTTTGGGAGACTACCTGGACACGTAGATGGTGTGGGTGGTGGCTGCTGGGAGCTCAGCCTGTACAAGCCTGGATGTGCTTTGTGGCTCAGGGTACCAAGAACTGGCCATGGTGTTTGGGCTTGTGTGGCTGAGTTGGAAGCTCAGCATCTTGAAGATATCGGGGTAGAACTGACAGTCTGGCCTGGGGTGATATGTAGGAGCTGACAATCTACGCCCAGCTGAGAGGTGTTTGAGGCATTGCTGTTGCTCACRCTGGGTATGTGAGTGTGATTTCAGCTGAAGGTGATTGGAAAGAAGAGTATGTGCTTGTGCTCTGTCTTTTATGTTTGACCACACAGCCACTGGGACAACAATATGTAGGTGAAACAGGCCAGCCATCCATGGCCGGTTTAGGTAGTACATTTTTACCATTTTCCATCTGTGCAAAGTAAAAAAGATTGCTTGCAACTTTTTCTGTGCTGTGAATGGGATGAAGGTGCATGGCCGCATATCAGATTTGTTGCCACACTGTCACTGCTGTGCTCAGTTGTGGAAGTGTTGATGCAGTTACACTGACAGTCTATTTTTATCAGTTAACTACTGGGTAATAGTTTGTTTTCCATGACTAAGTGTGGTTTCTTGAGCCCAGCAGTGGCCTCATGCATCATGATCTTCCAAAGAATGAAGTTCTTCCTGACAACCATTTCCGTTTTATCTGTTTGGTTAATAGGCAGTCTTGCCTCTGATCTTCAAAAAGTTTAAGACATGCACCTAGCACTATTTAAAAATAGTGGTATTGTGTGCTTTCAGAAAAAGAGGAGAGGGTTGGAAATTTGGTAGATTTGTTTAATAGGTTCGGAAAACTTCTCTCCATAATTGTTGAGTAGACTCAGCACATCAAGGCAGGTTGCATAGGTGAGCTGTACTCAGGTGTTCAGTTTCTCCAAAGCCTCTCTCTGCTGTTGCACTGAACTTTAGCTCTGGTGGWACAAGGTTTATACTACCACATCGCCTTACTGGCATTCTTGAGAGGCACGGGGCAGTGGATTAATGTTGAAAGGTTGATGCTGGTGCTGTCCCCAGTCTATTACTACAGGGCAGGGACATTGGACCTGCTWATGAATCAGCCTCTTAGTCACTGTRATTCTCAGTCCAGGTGATTGAGATAACCTGCTCTAACTTTGGATTATTCTAACACACTGCTACCAAGCTTCACCAGGAGAGTGGTGGTCCTGGTAGCTGGGAGGAGTAATAGTGACAGCTTTCACTAATCTTTGCATCCTGCTATTAGGAATCTATCCACAACAGCTGGCAATACCAGAGGCACATTCTAAAAGCAACACATTGTTTAAGCAAATATTTTTATTTCCTATAGCCATGTATTGTCACACTGATTAACCATATGTCATTTGAGTAGGAATTGCCAGTGCTAAAGTTTGTTGTTTCCTGAAGCAGTGTGAGCTGAAGGTACACTCCTCACTACAGTGAGGAGTGCAGTTTGCTTTGTGATTGTGCTGACACAGCTGTTTGGGCTGGGCTGGGATCCAGACTCGGACTTTTGATCCACCTTGGTTTTTTTTTTTTGAAAGGAGGGTATGCACAGTACCTTCCTCATAGAGTGTGTTCAGCTTCCTTGCCTGGTTCCTGCTATGCCCCCACAGTGTGTTCTGGAAGGTGGAGATCCCAGGCTGCAGCTCACAAGTGAGAGCAGRAATKCTCTCAGTGTTTGTTGTGAGAGCAGCACTACTCTCTAAATGTGCTGCTAAACTGGCGTGAGGCTGATGAGTAAARTGCATCACCAAGATCATAAGTGAGGCTGCGATCAGGCCCTTCCAGTGTGACCTGTACCAGCTGTGTGATGGACAGTGGGTGTTAATGGAAGTTGCTGTCCACAGGGGAAGTCCCTAAACATTTCCTGATTTTCTTCACTGTGTGTTAGTTTACTAAACTAAATTTGGTAAATTAAGTTTGGTAAACTAAATGAAGTTTTTGAGATGGTGCTAACAGAATCAAGTTTTAGTTAAGGCGCGGGTTTGTAAGGGTTAATTGAAGTATTTTCACGATTTTATTTTCTTGTGTGAATACAGCTGCAAAACCTTAAATGCATTTTTCTGTTAGCGGTGCAGAAATTAGGTAATTGAGTTAATTGACCAACTATAGAAGGCTGAGAAAAGTAAAAGGGAATAAACAAAATATAGTGGAGGAGGGTTTTGTGCCGTGTGCTCTTTTTTTTTCTACTTTACTATTATGCTGGTTTCAGCTGAGATGGAGTTAATTTTCTTCCTTGTACTTGGTATGCTGTGTTTTGTATTTAGGATGAGGATAATGCTGATAACGTGCTGATGTTTTGGATGTTGCTCAGCAGTGCTTACCCAAAAACATGGACTTGAGTGACCCAGGCTGTGCCAGTGAGCAGATGTGCAAGAAGCTGGGAGGGATCATGGCCAGGAGATCTGACCTGAAATGGCCAAAGGGAGATTCCATAACAGAACATCACGTCCAGTACATRAACTGGGGAGTGTTGGCTGGGAGCTGCCAGTTCCTGCTGGGGGAAGGGCTGGGCATTGGTCWCTGAGCAATTGTACTGTGCATCACTTGTTTCTTTTGTATTTTAATCGTGCCTCCCTCTTCCCTTTATATTGCAATTCATTTTATTATCCTGTTTTATTTTGTTTCAATTATTAAACTTTTCTTATCTCTATCCATGAGGTTTACTGTTTCTCTCTGAGAAAAAACTTTTTCCTCCTCTCTTGGGGCAGGGAAGTGGACAGGGAATGGCTGTGTGGTACTGAGTTGCTTGCTGGAGTTAAGCCACAACAAGCATGTTAGTTATTTATGTGGGAATAACAATCTTTAAGTTCACCTAAAGGAAGCTGCTGCTTTAAGAAAGACAGTATGGTTTACACACATCCCTGAATTATATTGAGTTCTATTTTTAGTGGCTTCTAGGAGGCAGGGATTCAAGTTCAGTGACTGCTAACATAGCACAAATAATATAGTACCCTGCTCTTTCTGATTCTTAAGTGTTTTCTGCGGCCAAGTCATTTAATAGTTAAAGCTGTGGGATATTTGAAAGTTTTTGAAATTTCTTACATAAAAGCCTGAGGACTGATTTTCTTTATTACTCRTCATGTGATGATCAGATGAGAATCACCAACTTCCTTTGAAATCTTTTGCATTTATCCTCGTTTATGTTTCTTAGAATGTATTGCCCAAAATGTGTTTCATTGCAATATCAATAAACAGTGTTTCAGATTTTGTTTTCTCTACACATCGAGATGTTCCCTATATAACGATGAACTGTTTAAATAAATATTATTGCCTCATTATCTTAGTAATTGATCTTGTAGCTGGGGCTGGTCCCTAGGAACTTTGGCGAAGGTGACCTCTAAGCTAATCAGACTGATAGTTAAAGCACAGTGAGGAAGTTGTAAGGCTTTTGTTTTAGCAGTCTCTGTGGTGATGCTTTTTTTCTAGCCAAGTTTTCCTTGCTTTTGTTGCTGCCAAAGTGTTGACAGTTTGTTTTCTTATCAACAGCTGTGTAAAATTAAGTCCAAATACCTCTTTTTAGAGTCCTGCTTAAAGAGCCAAGCTTCCTCTCTCTTTATTTCCTTTAACAAAGCCACATGCAGCTTCTGATGAAGAAGAGCCACTGGTATCTGTTTCAGGTATGACTTTCTAGACATAAACAAAGGTTTTTTCCTGTGGATTATAAAATTTGCAATGTCTTTTCAGGTATGTGCTTTGTGTACRTAAGTGTGCATAAGGTAGAGAATCATCATAAGTTGTAATGGGACATGTATGATTGTAGCAGAGGATTTATGCTCTGCTGCTTAGATAAGCAGACTATACAAGATGAATAATTCCAGGGGAGTT